GTTCTTTCCAACATTTAGCCAAAGAGTAAATTGAGGCCAGTCTAAAGTTATAAAGTAAAAGCACTAAAACCACCTGTCTGATATAATAAGTTTTAGGACTCTATCATTGAAATTTTGGATGTTGAAGAATGTCTTCTCAAGCCTTGTGATGCATAGGTACTATGCTAGCAATCTAGGGAGCTGCCATGAGATGGATAAGACTCCCTAATGAGGGTTGATGTTCTCTGTGGTATCTGACTTGAAAAGTACATTTGGCAAGATTTTAATTTCCACATTTATTTGCTTTTCCTTTAAAAATTATTAATATTTTTTGTTTTTATTTACATCACTTTAATTTACAAAGATATCCTTCTCCCAATGCAGTACTCAAATAAATCACCTCTTGTAAGAATAGATTAAAAAAAAAAGAAAAGAAGCAGTTCATTAAAACTAACCAACACGTTAAACAAGTCTGAAAGTATATGCTGTGCTCTACACCCATAGGCTCCCAGTTCTGGAAAGAAGGGAGAAGAATACATTTTCTCATCTCCTCTCTGGGACCAAGCTTGACCATTATACTTACATAGTTTTTAATATCAGTTTTTTTCTTTTTCATTTTTTCACACTTTTTGGGTATTTTATGAAAAACCATTATACAGAAGTGTTTTTTTTTTTTTGAGGCAGTTGGGGCTAAGTGACTTGCCCAGAGTCACACAACTAGTGAGTGTTATGTGCCTGAGACCAGATTTGAACTCCAAGGCCAGAGCTCAAAAGTATCCTTAAATGACATGAAAGCACATGAAATAAACAAGAATAACAAATCCAGGGAGTAGCATATGATGAAACAATAGTCTTTACATTTTTAATATTGTGTCTCCTTTTTTAACAACTTGAAACAAATGAGATTTGTTACAAAGAAGTTACAAAGCATTACATTATGTTTATACAGATTGCCACCTAAAAACCATACTAAAAGTAGGGAATTATTGTAATAAAGATCGAAATGATACCAAAGTCCAAAAAAAATCACAATGGAGTTGAAGTGTCTTAGTTACAAGATGCTCATAATTGGATTATTCATCTCAAAATAAAATTAGAACTTTTTTCTATTAAAAATTGGAGAAAAGTTTCTTTTGGTTAAAAACAAATTACAACCTATATAAAAGACTTCTACCAATAACCATGTAATTTCTATAGCAATAGAAAACAAGCATTTAGTGACTTCTTCACCTTCTTTGATCCCATTAGTATTTTAAGATTATAATAAATTATCACAAGGGCATCATTTGTCATTTGTTTTTGTTTTATGTTCTCTAAAATAAGAGTGCCATTGGGTAGAGCCAGAAACATGAAACATAAACCTGTTACCTCTTCTTTTAAAAATTTGCCACTGTCTTATTGAATAATAATTTCAATCTTTCAAAAGACTCATTATTCCAGTGATATAGGTACCCTCTCTCCATTAAGGCAGATTGTACTAATGTATTTATTCAATTTCCATTGTTGTATTAATTTTTTTTGTTTTTGTTTTTTGCTAGGCAATGGGGTTAAGTGACTTGCCCAGGGTCATATAGCTAGTAAATGTCAAGTGTCTGAGGCCAGATTTGAACTCAGGTCCTCCTGACTCCAGGGCCATGCTCTATCCACTGTGCCACCTAGCTGCCCCATTAATTATTATTTTTTTTATTTTTAATAATAGAACCTATCTCCCAGGATCATTGTGAAGATCAAATGAGATAATATTTGTTTAAAAAATGTTTAACACAGTTCCTGGAACATAGTAGGCTCTATTGAATGCTTATTTTTCCCTTCACTTTACTGTCATAATTTCAATTGCTTTCTGGAATTGTTGGCCTAAATCACAGCTCTACTTGTAGGGCATTAGTGAACCTGTCTTTCCACAATTCTTGCTACATTGATCATTTCCATTGTTTGTCATCTTTGGGAACTTTCTGGATGTGAGGGAAAAGGCCATAGTTGTTTTGGTTTGCATCTCTTTAAGCATTAATGATTTGGAGCAATCTTCCATATGGCTGTCAATAGTTTGCAATTTCCTCTTTTGAGAACTGTTTGTTCATTTCCTTTGACCACTTATCTATTGATGTCTCTTTATCTTCAGTTAGAAGTCTTCTTGATGAGATTCACAAGACACCAGGGCAAAAAAAAAAATCAGCTTTCATAAGGTATACTGCATTGCTGGCCAAGAGTTCACTATTACTACATTTTAAACTGTGGATCAGAAATCCAAATCTCATACTTACACACACCATATTTTCAATCAATTTTCCTGTTTTTAAATCTTCCTTTCTCTTTTTTCTTTTCTTTCTTTCTTTTTTTTTTTAAAGGCAATTGGTTTAAGTGACTTGCCCAGGGTCACACAGCTAGTAAGTGTCAAGTGTCTGGTCTGAGGCCGGATTTGAACTCAGGTCCTCCTGACTGCAGGACTGGTGTTCTATCCACTGTGCCACCTAGCTGCCCCCTGAATCTATCTTTCTTTTCCGAAGTCCTTATCTTCAACTGGAAGCAATGAAAAGAAAGAACAATAAAGAGAACTGGAATTTCAAGTTTCCTCTCTGTCACTGACTAGTGGAAGTGAATGCTTCCTCATCTGTAAAATTATTGAACTAGACGATACCAGTCTGAAAACAGACATATGCCGGTTTTCTGAACCTAGAACAATAAGAAATTAGCTTTCTGATTCCTTAAGTTCCATCAGGGATGAAGACATTTTACTGAATTACTAGTAGAGCTACCATCCTGCTGTAAGCTGGCAACTTCCTTACCTTTGCGAAGATAAATAAGGGTAATCAGTCTCTTCCTCACTCTAAATTCTTCACCTCAGTAAAAAACAAAACAAAATAAAAAACATTAAGCTAATTCCCTTTCAGAAGAAGAATAAATCAATACACAAACTTATGTGTTCTTGATTTTACTTTAATTCAGCAACATAACAAGGATGGATACATGACCATTTTGAGGCTGGTCCTTACTCAGAATAAAACACAACTGTCTTCAGCACCCTGATGCATATTTTTCAGTCCTACCTTCTGTTAGACCTGTGTAGTTTCGTGTCAACACAAAGTGTGGACATCTGTGAGGAAAGATAATGAATATGATAGCACAGCTTTCCTGACTCTATACCTTAGGGATATAGAACTGCTTTGGGAAAGGGCATTTCTAATTCCCTGCTACTCACTCTTGCCTTTCCGGGCTTTTCAGCATTTTAATTGGCAAGGAGAAAAGCTACTATCCTTTCGCCTTCACAGTTAGATCTATATTTTGGGATCTTTGGGTATTGAAACTTGTTGAAGGGTTGGAAATGGAAGTTTGGCTAACTTGTGGTAAGTCTCCTATAGTAGTTCTAAGTGGTTTTGCAGATAACTGGTTATCACAAGCTATCTGCACAATACGCACAGCCTGAGGAAGTCTAGCTAGCTCAGTAAGCCTCCTTACCAATTTTAGGAATGCAGATAATTGAATAAATAAATAAACAAGCCTTTATTAAGCACCTACTATGAGGCAGATACTGTGGTAGGTGCTGGGGAAACAAAGGTAAAAATGAAACGGTTTGTGCCCTTGAATATCCTACAACTTATAGGGGGAAACAACATGTACACATATAAGTATAAAGAAAAGAAATATGGCAGAAATGTTACAGTGCATACAGTCACAAGTCTATGTGTGTTTATGCTATTTAAACATTTAACCAGTAGGTAAAAAAGTATCACAATTTATGTCTCTACCAGTATAAAGAATCACATTGAATGGATGAATTAAAAAAAAAGTATTAGGCCCTCATTTTATTACAAGAAGTCCTGCTAAGTCCTAGGGATACAAATGGACAAAAAGAAAGAAACAAGCATTTATGAAGTGCTCACTATGTGGTAGGCACTGTGCCTGTGAGAAGCTTCAGCTCTCAAGGAGTTTACCCTCTAATGGGGAAGATAATACATAATATAGGAGAATCCAGCTATAGGCCAGATAAAAAGGCCCAGAGGTTGTAAGAGTGCATGGGGTATCTGCCCTTCATGGAAGGGAATATATAGGGAAGTAGCCGATCATCACTGGAAATAAGTCTAAAGGTGGGAGAAGGTAGGGATACTGGATTCCATTTGGAAGAGTTAGGAATGGATGTTAATGTTTGGTCAAGAGGGGGAAAGAGAAAGGGGAAATTGTCAGGAAGGTTGGGAGTAATGACTGGCTAGGTTGCAGAGAGGGGAGGATGGTTGAGCTCAGGAGTGGGAAACTTGTGGCCTCAAGGCCATATGTAGCCCTCTAGGTCCTCAAATGCAGCCCTTTCACTGAACCCAAACTTCACAGAACAAATCCCCTTAATTAAAATATTTGTTCTGTTAAACTTGGACTCAGTCAAAAAGCTACCCAGGGACCTAGAAGATAGACAAATGATAGTAGTATTCCATTTGATTCCATATAACAAGCATTTATTAAGCACCAGGTACTCTACTATCATTAAGGATAGTGGTATACCACTGTAGTTACTTTCTATTATAGGTACATAATCAGCATTCATGACTGATTTTATGCACTCATTTGGGTTATAATCATCCTCCCCATCCATATAAACATTTACCTCAGGTGACCCTGAATTGCCAAAATCCTCTTTCTCTCACCTCCTGCTTTGCTTTTAGCCAAGAAATCCATTTATCCAATTCAATAGCTAAGCAGAAATCAGAGAAAGTATATATATATATATATATATATATATATATATATATATATATATATATACACACACACATACATACATACATATATGTATATATACACACACATACATATATATGTATATATATACACACACACACAATAAACATATATGTATATCTATATATGTATGTGAGTATATTAGACAAAACAAAATGAAGGAGCTCTTCTGTTGAGAGTGAGGAAGAGAGAGAACCCTAGATCTCACCCAAGGGGAAGTTCCCTGAAGTCTCTAATGTAGCAAGCTGGGGATAGGGACATGATAGAGACTAATGGCTTCTCTTCTGTCTTCCCAGTCTTTTCCTTCAGCAACCCAAACTGGGGTTGGCCTCATCCATCTCGTCTTCTGACACTGCAATCCAGAAGCATCCAAAGCAACTTAAAGCTTGAAGAGAACTCAAAGAATGCTGAAGAGGCTAGAGCCCTGGGGCTTTCAAGGGCATCCATGTACACCAATAAGAGAGTTTCATGCCAATAGGCTTTGGGACAGGGGTTACACTTTCTTTGTATGCCCAGAGCTTAGCACCATGCCCGGTAGGTGCTTAGTAAATTTTTATTGAATGACTGACTGGAGATACAAAGACCAAAATGAAACAGGCCTTGTCTTCAAGGAGCTTGCATTCTTCAGGGGGATATAACTGCACATGATTGAGTAAATACAATGTAATACAAAATAATTTGGAGAGGAAGAGAAGGTTAGTAACTGGTAGATCTTAAAGGTCAATTTGTTCTTTCATACCTGCTCTCTATTTCTTAATTCCACAAAGAAGATAAAGATAATTTTTAAAAATTGATTTTTACAATATTCCATAATTTAGGTTATATAGATGTTTATATATGCACATTCATATTTGTATGTGTGATTATTTTCTCAATTTAGGAAAGTTGGCATATTAAGTTTCTTCTATGGCTTTGGACTATACCAGTTATTCAATAATTCAAGTGTTGTAATGAATGAATGTATTCATAATTGTCAAGGAGAGAATCTACTAGATTTTGCCTTCACAGCAAGATCTATATCTTGGGGTCTTTTGCGGTTACAATTAATTGAAGAGGTGGGAAGAAGTATGGTGGAAAGAAGAGGGATGGCCTTGTGGTTATAGCAATAGTCATAGGGTCATGTAGATCTGAAGTCAAATCCAGTCTCAGACACTTAGTAGCTGTGTGACTCTGGGCATGTCACTTAACCCTTGTCTGCCTCAGTTTCTTCAACTTTAAATTGGGGATAATAGTACCTACCTCCTAGTATTGATGAAAGGATCAAGTAAGATATTTGTAAAGCACTTAGCATGGTGCTTGACACATAGTAGAACTCAATAAATATTTGCTCCTTTTCTCCTTCTGCCTTTAATACAGGCCCTATCTTCCCTAGCATAGTACCTTGTACACAGAAAACACTTAACAAAGTTTTACCAATACATTAAGCTGGAGACATTGATGAACCATCAGAATAGATGATATTACCTAACATACTGCCTTCCATTTAGTCATTAGAGGGACAAAAAGAAATAACATTCTCATGAGAGTATTGTACCAACCACCTTCTTTAGTGTATAGTGCAAAGAAGGAAGAAATAGATGACAAAATTGGTAAACAGATGAGTTTTGTTTCTTCTTTCTGGCGGTTCCTCCTATTGGTTCTAATTCTTACTTATAACATCACTAATGTGAAAATCTATTTAATAGGAATGTATATGTATAGCCTATATCAGATTGTGTGCCATCTTAGGGCAGGAGGTGGGGAGGAAGGGAGAGAAAAATTTTAAACTCAAAAGCATACGGAAGTGATTGTTGATAAATCAAAATAAATTAATAAAAAATTGGTAAACAGATCATAAACCTGGAAATGAAGCATTATATAATAATCGGGCATCTGCTAGAACCTTCTCTGCAAAAAAACCAAAGCGGCTAATAAATTGGCTTGTATTCATTGAAACGTAATTCTTTGAAAGGTAGAAGAAACACTAAAGGGAACTTCTATTCTGAGTCAGATTGTGACCAATAAGGAGGAACTTGTTGCACAAGTAAAAATGATAGGGACCTTAGGGGGAAAATGCTGACTCTATTTTAGAATTCATGATGAGGAAGGAGAAGAAAGCTGGACATAGTCTGGTACACATTGTAGATTTTGAAGGAAAATATTTCAATGTCCAGAGAAAGGATAGATAGGATTCTGGCTTAAAATTTTATGAGAGAAGTCAGCTCAAGCAAGAAGTATGGGAAACTAAAAAAAAAATTCTCATTGTACAAATAATTTCTTTGAATAAGACAAAGAAGAGTTATTAAAAAGAATCTGATATATATGTATACAAGGACCTCATAGATGGGCTGATATTTTAAAATGGCACACATGAAAGAAGGAAACAAGGTCAGTTAACAGAGGCTGAATAAAAAAAGAATATTCTGGTTTGGTGAGAAGACTATCAGGAGCTCTAAAGACCAGAATGAGTGGAAGCTGTTTAGGAATGCTAAGGACATAAACATGGGCTTATTTAGTTATGTTAGAGGCACAAAGAAAAAAAAAGAGTATTTCATACAGGTTCCTGGAAGGTAATAGAAGTGCCACTGGAGTTTTTGAATGGTAAATAACCAGACAAGTTTGTTGAAGAAAAAAATATTAATATACCACTCTGTATTTAAAAGCACAAGACTGCCAGAAACAATTAATAACATTAATCTAATATATAAACCATAAACCATTTCTAGCTGGGGAAGGGAGGGAAGAGAGAGAGAGAGAGAGAGAGAGAGAGAGAGAGAGAGAGAGAGAGAGAGAGAGAGAGAGAGAGAGAGAGAGAGAGAACATATTCCAACTGCATAGTTCTTTCCCCTCCTTCCCTGCCCCCTTGTTCTCAAATACGTCTCTCAACCAACATTTATAGGACTCTTGAATAAGGAAAAGTTCATAATATGTTAAAATATAGTTTGGATGAACTTATTTTACCAAAACTACTGGATTTCTTCCTTTACCACTCACCTCAAGGACTGAAAGGTCTTCCTTGCTATGATAGACATCTTCATCTTTCGATGTAAGAGAAGCTACTGCCCTTAGGTTGTGGTGGGGTTGGGGGACAGAGTTGCAGGAGGGAAGGTGGGCCATAGTATGAAGAGCCAATGTTCTTATCTAGACAAGATTATTTTTTACGTTGATAATCACTTTTTAATTATTTGCCACATTTTTCTCAAGTAAATTTGAATTATAAAGATGAGTGATTTTTAAAAAGCTCATTGCCAATTCATAGTATTTCTTGATATGTTACAGGAGTGAAACCATTCAAACGTGATGAGTGTAACTTTGCCTCCACAATCCAGTCCCATCTGACTTGACATAAATGTATTCATACAGGAGAAAAATCCTACAGATGTCCCTGATGTGTTTAAGGTAATGAATGGTTTATGAAGAAACAGGTGATGAGATGGTGTTCTAGATTACTTAAATCACTAGTAAATATAGATCTCAAATAATGTGAATGTGTGAATACCACACAGGAATTAAGGGGTCTCATTTAAGTACTTTTAACATTTATACTTAATGGTAATAGGCAAAAAATATGTTCTCATTTTATTGATATTTGTTGATTAGTCTTTAGATATGAGTAATATGCTATAATTTATGTGCAGCATATTCAATCACTCTGTTGCTGTTTATGTGACCCACAAATTTTGTTATTTAGAGATTATATTATTCTATGATTTACTGTGAGAATATTTATGGTAAAATGATAAATTTTTGTTTTAGTGTGAAACAGGGTCATTGAACAAAGTGCACAATTTTTCTAATTCAAATGATCCTATTCTCTTCCTTTTGCTCATTTCTGGACCCTATTCATTGTCTTTCTATAGTGTCTTAGTCAAGATTTAAGTTTGGTAATTAGATTTGATTCATTCCTGGGACCTCAGTCCTTGTTTTACCCATTTTCCTAATAGAAAAAATTTTGAAACAGTCTTGGTTGTAAAAATATTAACTCTTAATATTTTCAGTTGATTACTTCAGTTAATAGAAATATTTCCTCAGTTCATCTTTGTCTTGAAAGAGAATCCTTAAAGGTGGTGGTCACAGAGGGAATGAATGGTTAACTGAAAGTCAGCCAACTGTTAACTTAATTGAAAGTTAAGTAACTTTTCTGTTTAAAGTAAAATGTTAACTGAACTTTGCAGTGAATGCTATAGCTACGTTTTATCTCATTATGTAATTTGTATATTATATAGGAATATTATAACTATAACTTCAAAATAGTCGGTTAGAAATTTTTTTAGTTATGGGGGGAAGTGTGTGCATTTATGTTTCCCCTCTCTTTCTAAGCATATATGCCTAGATTAGGATAATACAAATTAATAAAAATTATTTCTGAAAGGCTTGTGCCTTAAACATTGAGTACAGATTTTTTTTTTTTTGCATCCTGAAGCATCTTACTCCATGGGAGCCTATGTTTCCTCTGAGCCTTTTGAAATCTGCTATCTTAAAGTATAGGGTATATGTTTGATTTTGCATGGATTTCCTCTCCTCCATCACAAATTCTAAGACCTGGGTGTTGGAAAATTTCTGGGATGGAATTCCTTGAGAGTCCAGGAAGAGAATCACTGGTCAGCAGAACCCCCAGTCCAAAGGGTTAAATAAAGTGAGTAGCCAAGTTGAAAGGAAAAAGAATTTATTAGCATGTTAAGGAGGATTGTTTTCTGGGGTGCAGATTTGGCTTATTTAACTTTTTCAGGCCTTCTTAGAGTACATAGGCCATCAATAGCATTCTGTGGCATTTGAATTTATCAATGGGATAGTCTGTCCCTATGGGAAAATTGGTCTGGGAATTCCATGGTTTTGGGTTATGTGCAACATTTGTGGGGTCCTAGGAAGCTAGAGAGTGCTGTGTACAGGAGGGGTTAGTATATTCAACATAAGTAGCATTAAGGTGCTTGTCAGATCATGTTATTCAGTTTACAGAAGAAATGTGTGTGTGACAATTTAATCAGGTTTTGTTATCTAGTTTGCAGCAGAATGTGGGTATTATTTAGGCTAAATAAAACATTTTGATAACAAGGTCTTTTCCCCCTCCACAATTGTTCCCTAACCCCAGGGCTCTAATCATCTCTACTTTAACAGCCACTTCCTCCCAGTTAGTGAGAATCACATCCAGTAGAGAAATTCTCTTTGTTGGTTCTTCCACCTTCTGAAGTTTGAAATTGTCATTAAGGCAAGTCAAGAAGTTACCATCTTATGCTCATTCCTCTGGGTATTGGAGGCCTGCTTTCTTCTCCTGATGCTCTCCTTTCCTCCTTTCTCTACTCTTCTCTTCCTTGTTCCTTCACCCCTATCCCCACCAACCCAGGGAAAGATTTCCCTCAGAGGTAGGAAGAATATGTTATCTCATGTGCTGTCTGACTTCTAGCCTCGAATTGGGATGTGTGGTAGGATGGGGTACCTGGTCCTAAGTAATTTCTATGTCCTAGACACTGGAGACATAAATACAAAATTTTAAAAGATGATCCATATTCTCAGGGAGAGGAACGTAATGGATGTACATGTAACAGGCATTCATTGTGGCCTGTCATACTGTAGTACCTCATGCTGTTTACACTGGGCATGTGAGCATCTACCAGTGAGTTGAATGGGTTACTCACTCACTCAACATATTCTCACACCGTAAGGCCTCATTTGTCCTCAGAAGGACAAGTCACAGAGTTGTTACACTCAGATTCACCCAGGGTCTAAGTAACTCTACTGAGGGAGGAATACCCACCCTAATTATAACTCTAGCTCTTAAGCCCTCACTGATATGCATCCATTTGCACAGACCAGCCACATAATAATAAAAACAACACTTTTATATAGTAAACATATTATTTACTTGACATTGATGCAAGAGAAATAATAATTATATCACAGAAAGTAAGTGCATGAATAATAAATACATCTCAATTCATACACATACCTGGGTCACATCATCCCAACAATGTACTCTGTATCTATGAGGGAGAGTGGGCACACAGTGCCTTTTTCTTGCCGACGAGGATATGAGTAAAAAAAAAAAACCCACCATGTCCTTTGGTGTAACTCAGAACTTTGGAATCGTAAACTTCAGCATCCCTCTCGTGTCTCAGAGAAGGTCTATAAAAGTTCCTTCATGAATATAGCTTTTGTGTTAGACGTGTTTCCATTATTACACTGAGTTAATCCGTGCAATATTTAACAAACATGATGTATCAGCCAAACTAGGCAATCTATTAGGTGGTATCATTGATTTCTTTTTTTCTTAAGTGTTCCTCTGATCAGCTGGACTTATTCTTCAAACACAACAGCAATCACTTCCAGCTTCAAGGTTAGCTGATGTAGTCCTGAGATTGGTTCTTTCATTTTCTGTTCTGTTTCATTTTTTTTCTCACCACTCATATTTTTATTGGTTCTGAGAATGCCATCCTCATTTTCAGTTTATGGCTGGTAACCAAATTCTCAGCTCTCTTTATGGTTGCATAAATTATATTTGTTCCATAATCATAGAATGATTCTGGTATTCAAAGCTCCAAAGTATATTATAGCTTGTCACATTAAAAACCAACAACTGCCTCAGAAACTATCATTAAAGTAACTGCTTCAGTAATTGCAGAAACTTAAAAGGACAGTATCCTTCTCATAGGCAAATAACTACAGGAAGGAATGGGTACTAACAATCAAGGGGAATCAGCAAAGATTTTGCACCCTAAAGGCCACTTGAGCTGGACCTTGAAAGAGCTAGAGATTCTAAGAGGTAGAGATGAGTAGGTAGAGAATGCATTGTAGGAATGGAGGACAGCTAGTTCAGAGGCACAAAAGTGGGAGATGGCATGTTGAGTATATAAAACAGCTAGTAGAGTTGTTGAATTAGAATACAAAGTTCATCAGGGTAGTAATTTGAAATACCTGGAAGAGAAGGTAGAGACATAGTAATTGTCTGCATCAAGCACCATAAAAGAAGGTTGGGACAAGCAGCATGAAAAGTGTCCACAAGTCAAATTTATAAAATAAATTCAGCTCAATGGAGAGGAGATGACACGGGAAATTCATGGTTATCATGTTGTATCTCAGGACACACGGCCTCATTTGGAAAGAAACACTGACTCAGTGCATTTGTAAAAGGGAGTGACTGTCCCTCAGTTGCTTTCTTCTTTTCTGACTGCAGATCGTATTAGTACTGTCCTAGCCTGTCCCACGAGAGATAAGTGTGGAGAGATGAAGCCCTTTCTCTTCATTCCAACAGCATGTCAACTTCTCCCATTTGGCAATTCAAGCAGGGGTGATGGGGTCAGTTAGGCAAGTCTGACCAGGTTCTCTGACTGCCTCCTCTGCTTTGTGTTTATTTGACTGATTCTAAGTGACCAAACATTGACCACGAGGTGTACACGTTCGGGTTTAAAGGTTACCTTGTGAATTCCAGAGGTCTGGAGGTTCTCCAGATAGTGGTAGATGGATTTGGGAAAGAGTTCTTGCCAACTACTCTAATGTTCTTGGAGAGAAAATGACCTCTGGCCATAAGATGAAGGGCAGTGCAGAGATGAGAGGAAATTTGAAATGGCTATTCAGCAGTTCTGGTGAATGCTTTATGTTTTGATGGTTTTAATTCTCAGTTTCTTGGAAGAGTATTTCAGTAGCTTTTACTGCTGATTGTTGGGTTAAACTTTTGTCAATGCACACTTTTCTTTAGAACCTTTTATGTAAAGTGTTTTTTTTTTTTTTGCCTAGGAAATAAATATTGGTGTAGTGAATAGAAAACTGGTCTTAAAGTCAGGAAGCCCTGGGTTGAAGTCCTGCCTTTGACATATACTGGCTATGTGCCTCTGGGCTAGTCATTTAACTTCTCAAGGTTCTAAGTAATTCTCTAACCCTATAAGTTGATGATAGGTGATGACCTGCATGATAAGGGGTAGTTTCCACACTGGGAGTTTACTATACCAATGAAATCATAGGTCTAGTAACTACCCTAATTGGTCTCTCACATCTGAATTACATTTAATATTGGGTACCTTTCCACTTTTGCCTTTGGGGAGACCCTGGACATGAACCCAAACCTAAGTTTTAAGTAAACTTTCTTCTCAGGTGTCATGGTAGGAGTGTTGTTGTTGAATCATTTCAGTTGTGTCTGATTCTCCATTACCACACTCAGAGTTTTCTTAGCAAAGATACTGGAGTGGTTTGCCATTTCTTCTCCAGCTCATTTTATAGATGAGGAACTGAGGCAAACAGGGTTAAATGCCTTGCCCAGGGTCACACAGCTAGTAAGTGTCTGAGGCTGGATTTGAACTCAGGTCCTCCTGACTCTAGGGCTGCCATTCTACTTACTGTACTACCTATTTGCCCAGGGTAGGGTTATAAACTGCTGAAGAGTGAGAGGAAAGTAGTCTGGCCCTCTCTCACCAGAAGCTATGAGTCCTCCAGGACCAAACTCAGTGTGGACTACATGCATGGGTTCAATTAGGGGTCCCTTAAAGGAGGAGGATTGGGTGCAGCAGCCCTTGGGCCTTGTAGTATTTATACTGTTGGATTAAGCATATTAATTTTAAAACTATGCATAAGATGGATTGGATGGGGGACAGACTGAAAGCAGGAAAACCGAAGTAATCTAGGAAAGCAGTAGAGGCCCAGCAGAGGTGTAGTGGACATGTGAATGGAGAGAAAGGGATGGAATCAAGAGTTGTGGAAGCAGAATTGACAACATTTGTCAACTGATTGGAGATGGGGGTGAGTACAAAAGGAAAAAGTCAGTGATGATTCCAAGGTTGCAAACATGGGTAATGGGAAGGGTAGTGCACCCTCAACAGAAATAAGAACATTTGAAGAAGGAATAGGTTCTTGGCTTGGAAGCTTGTTCTCTATGCCCTATGCCAAACTACCTTTCTGCTGAGATGAACAAAATGTAAAAAGAAAATTTCCTACAACTCCAATGAGTAGCAGTATTGGGGAAATTCACATGTTCCTCTGGCCATTTGACATCATCCTATTACATCTATAGTCATTATTTCTTCACATTTTTCTGGATAATATTTAAATTCTTCCCAGATGATCTAAGGAAAGGAAGACAAGCAAGAGTGACATTTTAGTACATTTTTGCAAGCTTCATAAATGGGTAGTAGTTTCCCACTTGGCAGTCATTTTTCTCTCTCTATCAGGAAAGGTTAATAATACTAGTGACCAAGAGAAAAGATCAGAATTGCTGATATAGGAAGATAGCCCCTGCAGATAATCTTATGTGATCTCTGGATTGGGGATCAGAAGAACTGGGTTTGAGTCCTAACTCTGCCACGTGTGTGCCTTAAGCTGTGTACCTTCAACATAATGTCTCTGGACCTCATTTTCCACATCTGTAAAAGGAAGGGGACACATGATTAATAATGTCCGCAGTGTGGTATAGTATAAAGGGATGGATTTGTTATGATAGGATGTGAGTCCCTAATTCTGGCTCTACTATTTACTGCCTTTGTGGTACGGGGCAAGACATTCGACCTCTACGGACCTCAGTTTCCTCGACTGTAAAGTGAAGGTGTTGGACTAGGTGACTTTGAAGGTTGTGTCTTACTCTGAATCTATGATCCTGTGATCCTTCTAGGTTTGATGTTCTAAGATTCTATGGAATGAAAGTGCAAGTGACTTCTCCAGTCTTTGAATATTTGTTCGGCTTATATAAATTATGTGACCGTGGGCAAGTCTCTTCATTTCTCACTGCCTCTTTAAAACTATCTCTGAGGTGCCTATCTGTATTAATGGAAGGAGTTTTCACTCTAGGAGTTCCCTACACTGATGAAATCACAAGTCCAACTCTCTCATCCCAAACAAAAACCACTCATTTGGTTCCTAATGAGATGAATGGCTTTGCATTATTATTTAACTTGTGATTTAAACAACTAGGTTGCTAACTTCTTCAAGGCAGAGGTTCTATTTTTTTGCTTCATTGTATCACAGAATGTCAGTTGGAAGTGATCTCAGAGACTCATCTGTCTAACCTATACCTTAAGAAAAGGCACCCTGATGGCATGGTGGATAGGGCATTAGACTTCATCTCAGGAAGACCAGCCTCAGACATGCACTATCTGTGTGTCTCTCGGAAAGTCACTTAAAAAAACAAAAGAAAACCAAAAACCACTCTGTTTGCCTCAGTTTCCCCATTTGTAAAATAAGGATAACAATAGTATTGATATTCTAGGGTTGTTGTGAAGATAAAATGAGATGAGATTTGTAAGTGTTTTGTAAACCATAAAGCTCTGCATAAATTCTAGTTATTATTATTATTGTTGTTGTTGTTGTTGTTGACAATGGTCATTCTAAAACATCAGGATTTTGCTTGAAGGCCTCTGTGATAGGGATATGGTTCATGACCAGAGAGTTTCAGCTGGAGTCTTCGCGTGGAGGAGGGCAGGGTGTTTCTTCTAGAATTGTTATCAAGTTAAGGGGAAATACCTTGTAGAGACAGACTGTGGAGCATGAGTAGACATTCTATAAATGGTTCTTCTAGGCTAACCACATGTTGAAATGGAGGATCTTTGTCATTCAAAAAGTCTTATGGGCTTCAGTTATGTTCTCTTGACTTCATTTGCTTCTGGGGAATTTTGGTGACTAGTTAGCTTTCTCTTAAGGAAGAGGAGGCTCTGATCTTGGGAAACCAAATTGCAGGAATGTGAGATCAAGGACCAAGGCTGGGTCTTACAGTCATTGCAGCATCAGTGACTCAGAGAGCAAAGAGCAACCTTTGGGACTCTGACCTACTGGAAGTTTTCATCTAGCATTTGTGATGCATAGGGACATGAAGATGGTAGGAAAAATTCTACGTTCAGTCATTTTTTAGTCACGTCTGACTCTTTGTGACCTCATTTTGGGGTATTCTTGGCAAGGATACCAGAGTAGTTCGCCATTTCCTTATCCAACTCATTTTATAGATGAGGAACTGAGGCAAACAGGGTTAAATGACTTGTCCAGGGTCACACAATTAGTAAGTGTCTGAAGTCAGATTTCAACTCACTCTTAACTTCAGGTCTTAACTGAATCCAGATCTGCCACTCTATCCACTGCACCAAAAAATTCCTGTATAAAAAGTACCCGATGGTAAGTAGTTAAAATGTGGAATTGGGGGTTCTAGTCACTGCCTGTCTAAAATGATGAGAACATATTTGGTGGGGAGTCTAGCTGGTGGCAGGGAAAAGGAAAACCCACAAATCTCTTTTGGGTACCTGAGAACCCTGAGGGGGAGATGAAATAGACATGGCCCTGAGAGAATACAGACAGAGCATACATGATCCTCCTCCAATGAAGAGATACCTTCAACTTTCTCAGGGAGCCTATTCCACTTTTGGATAGATATAATTATTAGGAAGTTTTATCTGGCATCCATCCTGAAGTGTACTGAGCTTTGCAAATCATTTGTAAAATAAGGACGTTGGGCTGTATTGGCTTCTGATGACTCTTTCAGATAGATCTCTCTTCCTATGAATTTTCCCATATCTTTTAGTCATGCTGGGGCTAGGCTGAACAAGTCTAACCCTGTTTTCACATGACCTCTCTTCAAATGTCCCTGCAAGTCTTTTCTTATCCAGTTTAAACATTTTCTAGAGGTAGCCAGGTGACATAGTGGACAGAGCTGTGGGCCTGAAGCCTGGAAGACTTGAGTTCAAATATGGCCGTAGACACTTACTAAGTGTGGTGACCCTCAGCAAATCACTTAACCTCTGTTGCCTCAGTTTTCTCTCAACGGTAAAATGAGGATAATAATAACAGTACCTGCTTCCCAGGGCTGTTGGGAGGATCCAATAAGGTAATAGTTACAAAGCACTTAGCGTAATGCCTAGCACATAGTAGGTGCTTAATAAATACTTATTGTCTTCCCTCAAATGATCCTCAGATGGCATGATCTTCACTATTAAGGCTGTCTTTCCTAGATTCTCTCCATCTTATCAATGCCCTTCATACAATATGGTGTTCCAGAGTGAACTCAATACTCTTATTTTTGTCTGACCAGGGCATAGAACAGTGAGACTATTCTGTCCCTTGTCCTTGACCCTTTCTTGACTGCTGAGTTATGCTGGCACTAAAGCTGCCAGATTTTTACCTAGCACTTCCATCTTTAAAGTGTCTTTGTTGAATGAATGAATGAATGAATGAGGGGAATGAATACCCTTGGAAGTTGTGCACTTCAGGGACGGCCTACATTTTATTTATCTTATCCCTTGACTTTGCCTTACTTTGCATTCCTCTCCCCCTTCTCTCTCTCTCTTCTCCCCACTTCTCTCTCTTTCTTCTTCCCCCTCTCTTTTCCTTCTCTGTAGTTCTGTCTCTTGTCCCTCTCCATCTGTCTGTCTATCTCCATCTCTGTTCCTCTTTGTGTGTCTCTCAGGCATATATGTGCAGGTTTCAGGAACAAAAACGGAGTCATGAAAGTATGTATGCAGGGACTCACAGAGATGTGGATGCTCAAGGGGACACTGAATTTGGTGATTTGTTGAGGGAGAGGAATGAGGTTGGGACAAGGTTGAGGGGGGTGTGTTAGGGAGAAATGAGAGCTAGTTGAATTAATCCCACTCTGGAGGTCCCATACTTAGAATAAAGAGGAAGACATCAGCCTAGACTTCACGTCTCCCTAGGCAGGTAGAAGCTGTTACTTCTCATGACAACAGAACCGTAATTTGCATAATCTGGGGCAAGAAGGACTTGCAACTGGACTGTTTGAGTGGGGGGAAATGGAAGCCCCTTTTCACTTGAGTATGTGGAAACCTGTCCTCACCCCCTCATGTGATATATATTAGTTTAGTACAAAGAGCAATGGTTCTGGAGCTAGAAGAGCTGAGTTCAAGCCTTGCCTTTGACCCTTAAAATCTGCGGGAATTTGAGTACATTGCTTTATCTCCTAAGCCTCAATTTTCTCATCTCTAAAATGGGGGTGGTCAGTTATATGACCTCTGAGGTCTCTTCCAACTCTAATTCTATGATACCTGTAGTGACAAAACACAGGGAGACCTGCTCACTGGTGTCCCTGGCATTCGGTCACATAATGCACTAACTCTGTGTCCTCTTGTGGGTTAGGTCAGATGATAAACAAGGGCCCCCTTTCCCATGATTGCTCTTATAGATAGGGAGCTATCCCCTTCTCACATCTTTCCCAACACAAATATCTATGTCTACTTGTCACAGTTTTTGAAGTGAAGACAGTAAAAGGTATAGCAAGGATATCCTACCTGTTTATCCAAGTGATTACAGGTATTTATTTTGTCTTTAATCTGAGGAATCCGGGGGAATAACCTTTGCATGACATAGTACCTTGGAAATAAGAGAAGAAGAAATGAATGAAAACTGTTCAGTACGACACTTATGATCTGCCAAAGCCAAGATTGTTCTGACAAGGAAGCCCATTAATGGCAATGCTCTGCTGACCCATGGGATAAAGGCCAGAGAGGGTTCAACTGAGCTATTAAATACAGCCCAGCTTTCCACACAGTGCTCTGAACATTCTAGATACTTAACAACTCACTTGAATTTCAGTTAGGATTCTAGAAGAGAATATTTGAGAGGTAAGGGGATGTAGACTGTATTTGACAAGTGTCCTATATTTAAAGGACTAGGCGGCCCAAAGCTCTTTTTTGTTTTAATCTGGTCTTAGAGAACAATATTAGTGATGAAGCATTTTCAGGTTCAGTACACTATTCACATTTCATAACTAATTTTAAGTATTGTGGTTTTTCTAAAAAAAAAATCCCCTTTGTGATTAAGATAAGATTATTTGCATTCTGATCTGCATTCTAATGTGTATTTGTTTTATTATTTAGGGACAAAATTCCGCCAGTTGGTTCAACTGTCCCCAGGTTTGTAATATGTCAAAAGCAAATGGTTCAATTAATAGAAATAATTCAGGGTGCAAACAAATGCTCAAAATGTTTATGTTAATAATGAGGTGAAGAAATGTAGGTAGCAGATGTTTCCAGATGGCATGCTAGCTTTTGAACAGTGCTGTATTGCTAAATACTCATAAAGAATGTGGTCCACTATGGCTTCTGCATCTTTTTCAACTATTCTATTGTGTGATCCCTCATTCTAATCTTATTGTATATAGTGAGATAGCAAAAGGCAGAAAGGAAAAGTCAGGAAAGGGATAATTAGGTGGGACATTTTCTCTGAGCCTAATCCATACATTACAAATGACACTTGCTTGATTTGGGCAAATTAACCAATCAGAAGATCTATCTTTGAAAATCTACTCAATGGGGAATACTTCAATATTTCAATGAATCTATGCTCTAATTTCTTATTAGGAAGAGAATATACCAACCAGCTGAATAAATCCCTTCTACAGTGAAGATAGCGATTCATACTGTGTAATTCATATTTGTGTTCTCCTACAAATCCCCCTAAAGGGGAATCCACCTGTATGCTAGAGGTCTTTATTATATTAGGCTATATTGTCATCATTATTGTTATTGCATAATGTTATTATAATGTTATATTTCATTATGTTATTATCAATATTATAATATTACAAATATTATAATATTGTATTATAATGGATCCTGGCAAAAGCAATTAGACTCCATATCTGTCTCCCCTTGCTCTTTATATGTGACTAACCTGTCTCCCTCTCTAATCACACATTCTCAAGGAGATTCCATATGTCTCTTTTGGTGAGTTTTGCAACTGACTTCTGCCTCCTATCTATCTATCTTTTGCATTTTCGGGAAACCTGCAATTTTGGTTCTTGGAGTTTGTGGTATTCTAAGATTTGCAGCTATATCAGTCTTCTAAAGAATTTTGGAATAAGAAAGATCTATTATATTTATGTTGGGTGACAGCATTGGAACATTGAAATAACAACAACAATAGTTAGCATTTATAGTGCTTCCTCACAATAACTCCGGATTATAGGTGCTATTATTGGACCTATTTATTTTACAGTTGGCGAAAATTAAGCAGACTGAAATTAAGTGATTTCTCCAAAGTCACATAGCTATTAAGTGTCTGAGGTCACATTTGAACTCATGGCTTCCTGACTTCAGGTTCCCACTTTGCTATCTAGTTGCCTATAAATAATGAATTGTATAAAATATAGTCAAATATATTCAAAAACTTTATAAGTCACTTATCAAAAAAAAAAAGGAAAGAACCTAATAGGAAATGGAAGCACAGTTTTATATGTGTTAAGAAACAGATAAATGCTGCAATCTGGCTCCATATGGGGTGGGTCCTGGCTGTTGCTGTGCCTTGGGCTGCAGGAACAAGTTGGGCAGGCAGCAAGTCTAGGGGGTAGAGGTGGTGTAGACCAACCCTATGCTGCCCACAACTCCCTCTTCCACCAGAAGATATACAATATGTATGGCACTTTACTTTGACAAAGACCCAAAGTTTGCTTGTGAAAGTGAGCACTGAAAGGATTATGGTTTGCAAATTATTCGGAAGTAATGTACTTTTTTGAGCTCTTTCATGTTTCTCTCAGAAAATACCACATAGAAACAAACTCAAAATTTGAAATATGCTCAAAATGTTCTATAACACATCAATTGTGTTGGGAATAACTTTGTACTTTTGAAACAAACATCAATAGCAGAACTAACTGTCTGATATTGAAATCATGACATGTTATATCTATATAGTGCTTTATAGTTCATAAAGCACTTTCACGTACTACCAAGATCTCATTTGAGTTACAAGTAAGAAAGAAATGGCAAACCACTCCAGTATCTTTGCCAATAAAACCCCAAATGGGATCACAAGTATGAATTGACTGAACGACAACAAAATTCACAAAATGCCTAATACAAACCATTGTTTTTCTCATTTATTAATAAAGCTTAATTTCAAAGTATTGTTACCTTTTAAAGACAAATATGATAATTAATGCAAAGACAGCTGTCCCCAATACTACCAATACATAAATATATATAGAACTTCTTTTTTGTTCTTCAGAACTTCCTGGAAAAGAGAAAATAGAAGGAAAAATCCAAATACATCTGCAATTTAATGAAACATTAACATCAACTATTTCATTTTTTTAATGAGCATTATAACAAATTACTGAGAAATTCTCTTCAGTAAAAATGAACAAAACTGTTAATTCTATTACTATTAAAACTATTCATTAGCCAGATGTCATTCATAAAGTTAAAACAAACAAATAAACATCTTCCATGACATAATTTTATTATGATCTTATAAGGTGGTTAACTTCTTTGACTTCATATTAAAATGTTATGTAGTAATCAAAATACAACTAATAAAATTGTGGGAGATTCAAAACTATGCTAGGCAATGTTCGATTGAAGGAACTTGGGAGATTTATTTAGCTTGGAGAAGAGACTTAGGGGGCTATAATCATTACTTCCACAGATGAAAGGAACTTGAAGTGGAAGAGATATTAGATTTGTTTTTCTTAGCCTCAGAGCAGATCTGGAAGTAGGATTTAGGAGCCATATTTTTAAGAAGTACTTGTAGCATGTCATTTTTTTTTTTCGAAGAGAGACAGACTTTGTTTTTTTTTTCTATATCAGTCATGTTGTGAAAGAAGAAACAGACCAAAAGGAAACACACACACACACACACACACACACACACACACACACACACACACACACAAATGAACCAATTTGTATTCAGATTCCATCAATTTTTTCTCTGAATGTGGGTAGCATTTTTCATTATAAATTCTTTGGAATTATCTTGGATCATTGTATCGCTGAGAATAGCTAAGTTATTCACAGTTGATCATCATACAATATTCTAGCATGCCATTTAAGAAAAAAATTTATTTGTAGTTTTTAACATTCAGTTCCCTAATGTTTTGAGTTCCAATTTTCTCCCTATCTCTCCCCTCTCACCAACCCAAGAGGGCATGTAATTTGATATAGGATCTACATATACATTTATTTTAAACTGATTTTCACATTAGTCATATTGTAAATAAGAATTAGAACCAATGAGAGAAACCGTGAATAGAAAGAAACAAAAAAAAAGAGAGCGAGCAAATAGTATGCTTTGATCTGCATTCAGACTCCATTGTTCTTTTTCTGGGTGTGGACAGCGTTTTCCATCATGAGTCTTTTGGACATTTTTTTTTTTTGCGTTGCCTAGAGTCACACAGCTAGTAAGTGTCTGAGGCTGGATTTGAACTCAGGTTTTCCTGACTCTAGGGCTGTGCTCTATCCACTGTGTCACCTATGCCTCCATGCCATTTTTAAGAAGCAGTCTTTTGTAAGGGAGAGAAGGAAACAAAGAAAGGAAACAAACATTTATCAAGCACCTACTATGTGCCAGGAGTTGTGCTAAGTGCTTTACAAATATTATTTCATTTGATCCTCATGGGAACCTTGGGAGATAGGTGCTATTATTATTTCCATTTAATGTTGAGGAAGCTGAGGCAGATAGAGTTTAAGTGACTTGCCCACAGTCACACTGCTAGTGTCTGAGGTGGATTTGAACTCAGGTTTTCCTGACTCCAGGCTTTGCTCTCTGTCCACTGTGTCACCTAGTTACCAATAATGCCCCAAATGTATGAATTTGTTTTCATGAACATAAATGTTTTAAGAAACCTTAGGGTTCAAGGAACCCACAAGTAAACAGACAGATGGAGAACTAGATATCATATTGTTGAGAAACCAGAAATTTGCCAGTGTATAGATAAAGTCCGGTGAGGGGGTAGAGGACTATAAAAATTGATCAAGAATATATAATATTATAGGAGACAGTGTGCAAAAGATGAGATATAATAATCCTCCTGTACCCTACCCTGAGCAGACTACATCTGGTGTATTGTATTCGACTCTGGGAACTTTATTTTAGGATAAGACTCTGTCAAACTCAAAAAACATCTAGGAGAGGCTCGCCCTGAGGGAGAGAGGCCTGGGAGGGTTAGCTAACTGGGAGGATAATGACTGGATTCCAAGAGGCTGGAAGGATCGGCTGAATCTGTAAGAAGACTTTTATGTTAGTGTTTTTTTCTTCCTTAAATTATAAGGTATAAATTTACCTGTTTATGTTTTGTATCCTCTCTTCCCTTACAGGAGAATGTAAACTTCTTGAAGGCAGGGACTGACATCTTTGCATATAGCACACTGTCTTGCACATACTAGGTCCTTTAATAAATGCTTGTTGGATAAGATTAGAGAAGGGAGGACTGTGGGGGGCATAAGAGCTATGTGAAAGAATGCCCCAAAGGATAGGATAAAGAACAACTGATAAAAGCTACAGAGAAGCCGAGTAAGGCCAGATGTAAGAAAAAACTCAGTAGTAATTAGTGCTAGCCAAAAGTCGAGTGGGTTTCTTTGGGAGGGATGTCTTGCCTGTCTCTGGAGGTCTTCAGATTGAGGCTACGTGACTCTTTGTGAGCATGGTTGTGGAGAGGATTCTTTCTGAGTTATGAGTTGGAAGAGGTAGCCTGTGAGGTCCTTTTCGACTCTGTGTTTCTGAAGTTGTGCAGTTCTAGAAATACTTGGGAAACTTGACGCAGATGTTGTGAATGTTGGGTAGAAATCAGTGCCAGGCGATCTTTTTTTGACTTTTTTTCTCTCTTACTTGGATGAGCAAAGTTGAAATATAGTAATTATAGGGAAAAGACAGTTTGAGACCATCCCTGAGGTAAGCAAAGAATAATTATATGATGTGGGCTGAGAGTCAGAAAACTTGGGTTCCAGTAATACTTTTTTTTTTTTGATGAGGCAATTGGGATTAAGTGACTTGCCCAGGGTCACACAGCTAGTGTTATGTGTCTGAGGCCAGATCTGAATTCAGGTTCTCCTGACTTCAGGGGCAGTGCTCTAATCCACTGCACCACCTAGCTGCCCCTCCAGTTATATTTCTACCCACTAACTAGCTTTATGATCACAGATAAGTAGCTTCACTTTTCTGTGCCTCAGTTTTCCCTTCTGTAAAATGATGAGGTTGCACTAAATGACCTCTAAGCTCCTTATTCCTTCGAAAAGCCTGTGAGTCTATGATACTAGGTAGCTCTTCTTCATAAGAGGAACTAATCAATGAAGACAGAGCACTGACCTAAGGGAGTTGAATTCTCCAAGATGCCAAATTAACTAAGGCTGGAGGGGAAATTTGCAGAAAGGACTTGTATTATACAAGCTCCATATAGCATGCCTGAATGTCATGGCTAGATATTTAGAGATTTTTAAGACCTAAGACCGGGAGATACTTCTTTAGTTGTGAGAAAATAAAAGATTTCTTGATAACAGAAAGTTGAAGCTAGTTTGATAATAACTGATAACAGCTTTACTCATTGCTGTTCAGTTGTTTCTGACCCCATTTGGGGTTTTCTTGGCAAAGATACTGAAGGGGCTTGCCATTTCCTTCTCCAGCTCATTTTAAAGATGAAGAAAACTGAGGCAAACAGGGTTGAATGACTTAGCAAGGGTCATATAACTAGTATGCATCTGAAGCCGGATTTGAACTCAAGTCTTCCTGACTCCAGACTCAATCTAGCTGCCCTAACAGCTTACTTAGTGACAGAGGCCTATAGTTTTGAGGTGTGCTTATATTTCTGTGTTTCTTTTTTTTCTTTCTTTTTTTTCTGAGGCAATCAAGGTTATGTGATTTGCCCAGGGTCACACAGCTAGTAAATGTCAAATGTCTGAAACCGCATTTGAACTCAGGTCCTCCTGACTTTAAGGCTGTACCACCTAGCTGCCCCTTATTTTTGTATTTCTTACTCTATATCTTATCTTACCTTACTGATGTATAATGATTAACAGTTGGTGTTTAATTGAATGATTTGTGTTCTTGCTTTTAAAAAAGGGGGCTTCTTTTATTTAGAAAAAGGCTGAGAGTTTGAATTATAAGTTTGAATTCGTATCTCCCAGTTTTTCACCTTGTGGCAACCCTAAAAATGGAAAGCATCGCCGTTCATATGGTAGCAGCCATAAATGAGTATACAGGGTGTGTAGGTTGAGCTCTGGAACATCTTAGTATCTCCTCCAAAAGTAGCTTTGCATTTTATTTTTATTGCATGATACACTCTTTTTTTGAGGCAACTGGGGCTAAGTGACTTGTCCACCGTCATACAGCTAGTAAGTGTCTGAGGCTAGATTTGAACTCAGGTCATCCTGACTTCAGGACTAGTGTTCTATCTACTGTGCCACATAGATGCCCCAATATATTCTTTTAAATAAAAGAGTAAAATTCTTTGAGTGCACATCTTATCTTTCTGTTCTTCTTAGGCCTTGTACCCCACCACGTACTTTGTGATACAGTGACATTGGCTTCCTTGCTGCTCCTTGAACAAGACACTGCATCTTCCTGCAGTGGGCATTTTCAGGAGCTGTCCTTCCTGCTCTCCTTCCTTGCCTCCTACTCTTGGCTTCTCTGACTTTCTTCGAGTCTCAGCTGTAATTCCACCTTCAGGAGGGCTTCCTTCTGTTGATTATTTTCAATTATTTATCCTGTGTCCAGCTTGTTTGCGTATAGTTATTTGCATGTTGTCTCCCCTTAAAGGTTGTGCACATGGGGGCTGTCTTTTACCTTTCTTTCTGTCCCCAGAACTTAGCACAGTGTCTGACACATAGTAGGCACTTAAAATTGTTTATTCACTGGATGACTCGCTAATGGAATATGCTAAATATGTCAGTGGTGGGAGCTACCTGGATTGCAGGAACAATGCAGGAATAGATGGGAGCACATCTGTGTCTGTAAGGTTGCCTTTGCATTGGCAAATAGATCACCTGCTATTTTCCCATATATGTAATGAAACAGAAATATGCTTACCAAATTCTACAGGTTTGCTCCATTCACCCCATTTCCCATCTCGACGACTTGCTCTTATTTTCAAGATATACTTTGTTCCCATGTCATAATTTCGGAAGTCATATTCATTTTTTGCAGATCCTTGTACCTCAAACTTGGATCAGAAAAAAAGAAAACGGGGGAAAAACATAGTTGTCACTGATTCTGTATGATGAGAGATGCTATAGAAATGTCAGGGTTTTTTTTTTAATGGCAACCCTGAAATCTTGAAAAATGTTTTAGTGAGCATTTCCTCAATTTTGTATTTTGAAGTTTAAATAAAGGGTACAGTGTTGCAAATAAAATATACAGCTTTGTTAATTATTACATCTAAACTGTTTAAATAAAATCTATACATTTATGGTATAATCTAAGTAAATCCTTTACTGCTACTTTGCAATTTTTTACCACTCCTTTTATTGCCCCCCTGTGTCATAGCCTTTTTAAGACAAGGTTGGCACGTGCAGATGATTAGGTAAAACCCTGGGCAGAGGAAGAACAATCCCAACCTGGGGCAGGATATGTGGATTCTGACTAGGGAGAAGAATGAGCATAAATACAAAAATCAGGGTCAGTATGGTACCCAAGGAACTCAAAGGGGGCTTTGACATGTCAAAAAACGGAATGCTTTGATAAGAAGCCTTTATGAGGATAGGAGACAAACTGGAGGGAGTATCTAGGTGCGGAGTGTTTGTGTGACTCCACCTAAGTCCTCAAAGACATTCTTCATCTGTGTTAGTAGTTGATACTTTTTGCTGTCTGACCATGACTCTCCTTTGTTAGTTTGCTAACACACCATATCTCTTCCTTACTCACCAGGGTCTATCAGACTGTGAGAGCAATATGTCATTCTACCACGCAGAACATGTTCTGGGACTGTAGGACCAGGGCTTGGTGGAAGGTCGTTGCAGGAAGACCTCTACTAGTTCTGAGTGTGCGTATTGTGTTCCCGTGATTTCTGATCAAGTCTGTATCTGTTCTAGCCTTCTAGGTGCTTGAAGTAGCCTATAACCTCTCTGAGTCAAGTATATCCTGAAGAATGTATTATTCCTGCCCATCCACAATTAACAGAGGTGAAGGCCTTGAAGATAGACGTTGGAGGTTGAGGTGAGCCTGTCATAACAAAAACTAATGTGACACTGTAGAGATATGGAGTGTGGAAAATGCCTCCAGCCAATCTCTTTCGGACACAGAAATGAGAACTTGAGTGATAGGCACATGACCTACCACCTTTTCTGCTGATTTTTAGGAAAGTTATTTAAGACAAGTTTTAGCCATCAGTCAACCAACGGGAATTTATTAAGTACCTGCTTTGTGCCAGGCACTGTGTCTCACCAATTCCACTTCCTCTACTTCTCTCTACTCACACCTCAACCACCATAGTCCAGCCCTCATTATTTTATGCCTGAACAATTGCAATAGACTCATAATTGTCCAGAACCTGGTCTCTATCCTCTCTTCCCCGTTTTTCCACATAACTGCCAAATAGATATTCCCAATGTACCTGTTTGACCATGTATGCCACTCCTCTGTTCAAGATATTTTGGGTCTTCCCCATTGTTTTTAGGTCAAAGTACAAGCTTCTCTTTTTGGCATTTAAATCTCCTTGCCTTCTGGCTCTAGCATAACTTTCTGGGTTAATTACTCATTACTCTTCCCGCACGTACTCTATGCTTAAGCCTGCTTCAATCAAATTAATAATACTTGTAAAGGGCTTAGCACAGAGCCTGGCACAGAGTTGGAGTTTAATGAATGCATATTCCTTTCCTCCCCTTCCCTTACTTACTGTTCCTTATACTAAACATTCCATCTTCTACTGCCATGTTTTTATACAGGTAAACTCTCATCCCTAGAATGCTTTCACTTTTCACCTCCAGCTGTTGGAACCACTGGATTCCATTAAGGCTCAACTAAAAGGCCACCTCCTCCAGGAATCCTTTCCTAATTTGCACAGTTGTTGATGTCTGTCTCTCCTGTTTCCATATATTCATTTCATATTTCTCTATGAACATGTTGTATCTCCCTCATAGAATGTAAGCTTTTTCAAGGTAAGGACTATTTTCATTTTTGTTTTTGTACATCCAACGTCTAGCACAATGACTGGTGATTAAGCTCATTGATTGGTTGATTGATTAATATGTATCCAATCTTGGGAAAGTTTCACAATCACGTTATATTGTATCACCCCCTCTAGTTTATAAACCAGATGGTAACAAATCTGAATGATTATTTTTAAAATTTCAAGTGTACTTTGACATCACATCACAACAAAAGACCAAACTCACCAGATTTTTATGAGTGTACTGTGAGTCCTGTAAAACAATAGCAAGAAAAAAACCTGGTAAGAACTTTTACTTTGAAAAATCATTAAGGAAGTATCTGGCTATATCTCCCCTTTTGTGTCCTGGTTGGTACTAGCAACAAACCTTCTTGAGTAGGAGGGCTAACTGCTACCTCTCCAGCCCCAAACTCAAGAGCATGCCTGCTTTGTAATTGTGGACAGTGACTATTGGTTTGCTGCTAAATATTTAATAACTGGCTTTCTAAAAAGTAAGACATCTTTAAATTCAATCTATATTATTATTTTTCTCTATCATTTTCTTAAGTCTAGAAATTAACAAAACAACAAATCAAGCTCTGATTTGATTTTTGAGGTATAGATACTCACACTGAAAAGTTAACAATGAGCTGTCCCACATTGCTTTGAGCTGGCTCCAATACAACCCTAGGAAGACCCAGCTACTTCCTTCCTTGACTACCCTCTTTTTTGTGACTCTTCATATGAGCTTGATCTCTGGGCCTTGGCATTAGGCCATATCATCTGAGCCTGACTATTGTTCAGTAGGATTATGCGGATACCATTTTTCCATTATGTCAAATCCTCAGAAGACCTGAAGGGTGTCCCTCCACAGTTTTACCATAGTGAAAGTGAAGGTGTATCTCCTCCTCAATTTCACAAAGCCCAGATTTTTATTTTCCTTTATTTGTTGAACATATATCAAAAGGAGGTATATGTATACTAATAAATACTCATATAGTAATTCAAAATAATTTTATGCATGTAATTTAATTTCATCCTTACAATAACTATGTAAAAAAGTGTTTTTATTATCAGCCCTTCTCTACAGATAGGGAAACTGAAACAAAGTGACTTCCTAGGTTCACATACCCATTTAGTACCTGAAGTGGGATTTCAACTTAAGTCTTCTTGACTCCAAGGCCAGCAATGTATACCACCTATTCACTTGAGGCTTGACACAATGTATGTAGTGACAGTGTATGACTGTTGGTTGCTTCTGGCAGCCTGCCTAGTTCTCTGGGGTAAGATCCATTTGCCTCTATGACCAAATGTGAGCCACTGTAAGAAGGCCCAAAGGAGAGCCAGCTGTGTTATTGGCAGGTTCTCCACTGACATGATCACCTTGTCCAGCCCAGTCTGCTAAATTTGTGCCTTCTTTTGGTGGTTACAATGCTGGCATGTGTGTAGGCTATATGATTCTGTTATGGCTTTGTGCCTGGATGAAGTATTCACAGCAAAGTGAATGGAGGGCTGGCTTAGGAGTCATGGTCAGATTCTGTTCCTGACCCTAAGTTGCCATGTGGGGGACCAAGGGCAAATCATCTAACCTCTCTGAGACCAGATCTGTTTATCTGTAAAACAGAGGAAACAACACTTGGTAATACCTACCTTAGAAATGTGTCATAAGAATCCAATCAGATAATATATGTGAACTGGTTTGCAAAGCCCTATACAAATGTCAGCAATATCAAATATCAGAGAGAAAAATTCTTCCTAGTCCTATAAAGTCATGTTAAAAAAAAAACCCAAGACATGCCTTAGCAAAATCATGCTGGACTTGTGCCTTTGGGTCTGGGCCTATGGCTTAGTACAGTGTCTTAACACATGGTAAGTACTTAAAAAATACTTGGTGATTGACTCTCTCCAGTCTTATTGGGGCAAAGTGGGGCTTTTCTGAACATTCTCACCTGTGTTTTTGACACCTTAAAAATACTAATAATAATTCAGTATTATATTTGGAGATTGTGTTTTAACCCTTCAAAGAGCTTTGAATAATGATAGCTGGCATTTATATAGGGCTTTAAAGAAGTGGCTTATATACATTATCTCATTTTATCCTCACAACTCTGGGAGATAGTTTCTATTACTATCCTCTTTTTTACAAATGGAGAAACTGAGGATGGGAGAGGTTAAGTATTTGGCTGGGGTCACACAGTAAGTGTCTGAGGCAGGACTAGAGCTGACAGCAAGTCCAATACTCTATGCACTGGGCCACTTTTTACCTTTGAATCTGATTGAATTATATTTAATCCTTTTAGTAACCTTATGAAGCAAGTCTTAAAACTACCTATGACCTAACTTGTTTTCTGGTTTCCATCTTCAAAAGAAACATGTGGGTCTACTTGAAACATAGCATAATTATAGCTTATGGCAAAAGCCGAAAGAATAAGAAACAGCGGGTTCACATGGTGCAGCCTTCTTCCAATTGGGTAACAAGAGAGCTCCTGCAAAGGAGACAGGCTAGAAATAAAAGAGGCTGCTTCTCCAGCACGTGGAGTTACCCTCAGTGGCATTTGGGACTAGCTTTTCTTTTTCTTTTCTTTCTTTCTTTCTTTCTTTCTTTCTTTCTTTCTTTCTTTCTTTCTTTCTTTCTTTCTCTTTCTTTCTTTCTTTCTTTCTTTCTTTCTTTCTTTCTTTCTTTCTTTCTTTCTTTCTTTCTCTCTTTCTCTCTCTCTCTCTCTCTCTCTCTCTCTCTCTCTTTCTCTCTTTCTCTCTTTCTCTTTTTCTTTCTTTCTTTCTTTCTTTCTTTCTTTCTTTCTTTCTTTCTTTCTTTCTTTCTTTCTTTCTTTCTTTCTCTCTCTCCTTTTCTCTTTCTTCCAAAGTTGAATATTTAATTGAATTCATAAAGACTTTGCCTCTTTCCCTGGGATACTTTTGCATGACAAAAGCCATCTACCTATTGCTAGTTGGTAACTGGCTTTAGTACATCATCCTGTCCTCCTCCTCCCATAAGAATGTCCATGAAGCCAGAAACATGTGTGAATTGATAGCTGTTGTTTTTAATTTTATTTTTAATATTTTTATTATTTATTTCATATATTATTTATTTTATTTCTTATTTTTATTTCATGAGATAAAACAAACATTTCCATAACATAGTATAATAAAAATGATTGCAAATCTGTTTTGTAGAAACAGCAAATCTATTTTGCATAACTTGTTATTCCATTTAAATACATAATAGAATTATCATGTAAATTTCTTTTTACCCCCTTTTTTCCTCCCCCCCTCCACCCTAGAGATGGCTACCATTAGACACAAATATGTATATATGTGTAAAATAATTCTATACATACTTCTATTTATCAGTTCTTTCTCTGGATGCAGATAATGTCTTCCTTCATATGTCCTTTGTAGTTAATTTAGATATTTGTAATAGTCAAAATAACATGATTTGTCCTTTTTAATTCTAGAGTTAAATCAAAGTCTTCTGGGTCCCATGAGGCAAAGCAACAAATAAACCAAAACCAAAATAAAAAACAAACCCTTTTCTCTCTCTCCTTCAGAGAATCTCCTCAAAAATGGGTGAAACATTGTTCATGTCACTGCATCCACAGCTAACATTATCTTAGGCAGCTCTCAGTCAGTTTGTTATGTTGGTCAACAAGGCTTCTGGCCTTTCCCTATAACCAGCCAGGTTTGCCCCAGCATTCAAGGTTGTTGCCAAAGCAGTGCTATGAAAATAGCATGGATTTCCTTCAGACCATCAGTGCACATTTACATGGAGTCACAAGTGAAAAATGGCATAAACAAAGAAACATTTCAAAGCATCTCATACTTACCTGTTTTTGTATGTAGAGCTGGTATTTAAACTCAGAGTGACCAATATGATCTCTTGTTTCCGGTTTCTGCCACTGTATGAGACAATTTGACTTGGAGCAGTTCACAGTGATATTAGATGGTGCAACCCAAATTTCTGCAACCCAAAATTCCAAGATAAAATACAAATCAGAAAAGTTCCCCTAAAATCTTTTCCTTGCTGCTTTTACCACTTGATAAGCCTGACTAGACTACCATATTCAATTGTGAGAAGCTTGTGAATGGGATTCATCCTTGTACTTCCCTTAGCACCTAGACAATGCCTTACACATAGTGGTTTTTCAGTAAATGTTTGATGAATGAATGTGTCATGTTAATTCCAGCTACCTGTTAAAGTCTGACAACAATCCTTCTTTCCTCTCTTCTTCCATTCTTTCCTCCTCCCTCCCCCCTCCTCCCTCCCTCCCTCCCTTTCCTTCCTTCCTTCCTTCCTTCCTTCCTTCTTTCTGCCTGCCCCCCTTCCCTTCTTTCTCTTTATTCATACAATTACTATTCACCAATTCCTTTTCAATCCTCATCCTTCTTGGACTCTTTCCAACATTTGAGATGTAATCACACTCTATTCCTGGATATTCTTTCCTCTCTGGGTTTTCATGACACTGCTTACTGGAACATTTTCCATCATGTTTCACCTCCCTGTAGATATACTCCATGGTTTTGTCCTGGGACATCTCGACATCTCTCTGTCTCTCTCTCTCTCTCTGTCTCTCTGTCTCTCTGTCTCTCTCTCTCTCTCTCTCTCTCTCTCTCTCTCTCTCTCTCTCTCTCTCTCTCTCCTCTTTTAGTAGCTTCATCCACTGCCTTATGTTCAACTATTAACTTTACATAAATGACTCCAAGATCTATATATTAAGTCCTGGTCTCTCTCCAGAGCGCTAGTCCTACATCAAAAACTATTACTTGGGTATTGTGAACTCTCAAAATCAAACAGAACTCATCTTTCCCTCAAAATATACATCTATTAAAAACTTTATTATTTCTTTCAAGGATACAACCATTCTTCCAGTCTCACATGTTTGCAACCATGTCATCTTCCTGTGCAACTCACCTATTCTTATCCCACATATCCAATCATTTGTTTAATTTTGTCAATTCTAACTCCACAACAGATCTGAAATTTGTCCCTGTTTTTCATATGGCTACTACTGTAATTCAGGGTTTCGATACCATTTTCTGGACTATTACAACAGTGTCCTAATTGGACTTTCTGCCTTAAGTTTTTCCCCTCTTCACTCCAGTCACCATGCATCTACCATGTGGATTTCTTAAAGTATGGTTATGATCATGCCACTCTCCTGCTTAATACACTCCAGTGGTTCCTTATTGATTCTGAGGATCAAATGCAAAGTCTTCTGTATGACACTTAAAGTTCTTCACAGTGTGATTCCAACATATTTTGCTAGGTTTATTATTTATTATTGCCTTCCTATACTCAATGGTTCAGTCAGATTGGTTTTCTTGCTTCTTTCTCACACATAGAATTCCATCTCCCATTTTTGTGCACAGGTTTTCCCCAAGCTCTGGAATATACTCTGGAATATTCTTCCCTCTAGCTCTTAGAATTCCTAGCTTCCTTCAAAGTTTAGTCCAAATGCTACTTCCTACATTAAACCTTTCCTGACCCACTTCTCCCCCCTGGGGCAGGTGCCATTATCTCCAAATTACCTCGTATTTGCTTTTCACATATTTTGCATATGCTTATACGCATTCATGTTGTTTCTCCGAAGAGAATGTTAGTTCCTTGAGATCAGGATCATTTCATTTTTGTTTTTATATCCTCAGCAGTTAACATAGTTCCTGGTATATAAGAAGTTCTAAATAAACACTTGTTGATGGTTTGATTGCCTAATCAATTGTTTCAACCTTCCCTAACGTTAGAAAATAGTGGTAGCATCCAGGGATTATAGACGGAATAAAGGCTAGGCTCTGACAGCAGTGCCAACTATGGCAAGCCTTGTGAAAGGAATTGGTACCAGAATATCTCCCATTTGTCCTTGGAGTTCAGATACCCAAGTCATCAGTCAGTAGGGAGCCACTGGCATTTATTGATCAGGAGAGTGGAATAGTCACACCCATGCTTTAAGAAAATCACATGGTAAATGTATGGAGCCTGGCTTGAAGAAGAGATAGACATAAGACAGAAAGCCTAACTAGGACTCGGTTGGCATAGTCTAGGTAGGAGGTAATGAGACTGAATCAGAGCAGTGGTTGTGTGAGTAAAGAGACAGGGAGAGATTGGAGATATGTTATGGAGTTAGAATTGACAAAGCTTGGCAAATGATTGGATATATGGGATGAGAGAAAATCAATTGCACAGGAAGATTCCATAGCTGCATTTTTGCCAAGCTGAAATGAAGTCCTGTATTTCCTTGGCCAAAAAATGGGTTGTCATTTGAGGAATCCTACATGTTTAAGTCATTCAATATATTATCAATATGAACATATCTTTTGACTGTTAATGCATAGGTAAAGTCATATAATTTGCTTTTCACCTATTGAAAGTAGTGAAATTGTCTTAGAACAAAAATTTTTGATTTTTCTTCTTTTGCTGGTACCAGTTACAAGGAAGTAACCTTTGCCTACGAATCCATCAAGTTTGTCAAAGTGACATCCAACATGCCTCTTCTGGGAATCTTTTATGTAACTAGTACATTCTTTTTCTTTTACTTTCCTGCAATAGATCAAATACTTCAGATTAGTAGGATATAATACCTTGCAACATAATTCTAATGACTTTCATCTCCACTTAAAACTTACTTGGCATTCTGTGAATAAAGGTAATATTGCACATCATTTGGAGCTGCTCTGCCTACTGTCCAAGTGCAATTCATGAAATAAACTTTGTAAATATAACAGGAGAAGTTTTTTGCAGCTGTATCTTCTCCTGGGTAGATACAGAAAGAACACAAAATGCATTTTGAAGTTAAAATAAGATCTGATACTGATTCTTGATGGGAAACGAAAGCAAGGAATTAAAACTCAAGATTTCTTACCAGTGTCATTAAAAATGAATTCTTTTTTGGATGTGTTCTGATGTATAGTCTGAGAATATATAAACATATCTTCATGACTCAAATTACAATTAGAGAAGCCACAGCAAAATTTCTTGATATAGTTCTTGTCCTGAAAAACAAAAACAAAAATGAAAACAGTACATTTATAGTAACCATTAGTAGAATCAAGGAATGGAGCTTTTCCCTATTCCTAAGCATTATTTTGCCTTGTTTAAGTTGTATCTTGCTATGAGTAAATCATGTTATGAAACTTGGTTAAAGATATATTTTTCTCAAAGACATGTCAGATTTCTGAGTGGCTGATGATGAAACCAAGGAGAGTAGGTTATACATGTCTGAAAAGGTCCTGTTAACTATAGAAGCCCCCTTTTAATAGCTTTATTCTAATATCTTGTATCAAAGGGCCGGATGGGTGACGCATTGAATAAAACACTGGCCCTGGAGCCAGGAAAATCCTAGTTCAGACCCAGGCTTGGATACTTACTACCTGTTGTGTGCACCTGGGCAATTCACTTAACCCTAATTTGCCTCAGTTCCTCATTTGTAAAATACGACACACCGGAGAAAGAAATGGCAAGCCACTCTGGTATCTTTGCCAAGAAAACTATGTCCTTGGGGTCATGAAGAGTTGGACACAACTGAACAACAGCAACAACAACAACAACACAACAACAACAGGTATCACAAGCACCCATTTTTCCATTGGATGAGACCGATGAAAAAGGGAAATAGACATGAAGTCTTGCTTACCATCACTGGCGAATTGTGTGTTTTCTTTACATCGGTGGGCGTCGTGGTATTGTCACTGTTGTGCCAGGTTAACTCCATTTTCCTCAGATCTTTTTTTGGAGTTGTGACTGACAGGCCTGGTACTTTGGCTGCAAGTTCTTCAAAGGATTGTTCAATGAGGTTTTAGGTCACAAGTTCACCTCTTTTCTCCTCTTCATTCATGAATTTTTTTTAACCTTTGCCCTAGGATCTCATTCTCTCCTACTTCCCCAAAAGTCCTCACTCCCTCTCTAAAATTACTTTCTCCTTCATCCTCCACTTTTCATTCTTTACCCCAAGATCAAAATATACCCCAATTTCACTGATTCTCAAAAATCGGATGTAGCATTGCATGAGCTCCTCTTCAACTACAAGTTTGGGAAGCATCTCTCATTCTCTCAGTATTCCAGTTCCTCACTCCCTTAGCTTTCCTCCAATCTGACTTCTATCCTTTCCACTGTATGTATCTTTCAAAATCTTCAGTGACTTCCACATGGCTAAAATTAAAAGGAGTCCTTCATAATTCCAAATCTGCTTAACTTTGCTGAGCTTTTAATGTTATTAACCAATTTGATCTCAAAGTCCTCTCTAACTTTGGCTTCCAGGGGAGGTTCCACAATGTAATTCACTCTTTTGATCACATACATTGACCATATCCTTCAGATACTCCTCATTAACTAATTTCCCAGTTTCTGGAGTATGAACCCGTTGTACCATTGCTTCTGGTAAGATTTAGGTATGCTCACATCCTTTCCACCCAATACATATACCCAGTTGCTATGCTCAGTCGAGCTCATGAAAAGGCTATATTTAAATGATTTCTCTAACTGGGCAGCATTTCAAATATCATGTGGCAAAATAAAAGTTCTCTTTCATCTATACCCTTCCCCCATTACCCAATGTTCCTATTAGAGTTGGCAACACCACCTACTTTATGAACACCCTCAAGCAAAAAAAAAATCTTTGTGGCCTAAATTAACTCTTCTTTGTCCTCATTTTTTTTTTCATGTTAATACTTGCCACCATCTTCTGTAAAACATGCTTCCCTTTCTCTATCACAGACAGCTCCTCTAGGCTTTCACAACTGATTCTTTATGGAACTACAGGCTACGTTATGTTCCTATCAAACATTATAAAATCATGAATTTAGAGGCACCTTAGAGGTTAGCTAATCCAACCTTTTCATGTTACAGATGAGGAAACTGAGTCCCAGAAAGTTAATGTGGCTTGCCTAAATTTGCACAAGAAGTAAATGAAAGAACCAAGATTTGAATCCAGTTCTACCAACTACAAATACACTATTCTTTTCCTTGTTCTAAATGTTTCCTCTGAAATTTACTTCTCCTCTGGTCTCTTCTATTTAAGTGGTCACACCCTCTGATTAATAGCTTTTCATAGTGGTTTTCAATGGGTCAACAGATCTGCATCTTCCAAAATTTTTGTTAGGCTATAATAGACAGTATTACTTGACTTATCTCCCATTAGCTGGGCAGCTAGGTGGCTCAGTGGATAAAGCACTAGGCTTGGAGTCAGGAAGACCTGAGTTCAAATCTGGCCTCAGACACTGTGAGACTCTGGGCAAGTCACTTACCCCCCTGCCTCAGTTTCCTCATCTGTAAAGTGATGATAATAATAGCATCTACCTTGAAGGGCTGTTGTTAGGCTCAAATGAAATAATTGCAAAGTATACAACAGTACACTATTAATAGATAATAAGCGCTATATAAATGTTAGCTGTTATTATTATTTGTCTTCAATTTTGGTTTGTTGCTCTCTAACGAACTTACTGGCCTCTACCTTCAGCTGATCATGTCAGTTCTGCTCCTTAGCCTTTGTTCAAGCCAGATCCTATACCCCAAACAGCTTCCCCATCCTAGCTCACCTAGCTCCTTTTTTTTTTTGTCTTTAGGGGATTCTTGATATCCCACCTTTCATAACTAATTTAAAGAAGAGGTTGTGGGGTTTCCCCCTCTTCTTTGACTTATAAATGTGATGTATAAAAACCACTGGGTTTTTGTGGTTTTATCCTAAGGCTGACACTGTGTGAAAAAATTTACTTAAATTCTATGTGTTTCCAAATAGATACACTGACATCTGGTCTATTTATCTAGCAGTCTTCCTCCAAGGTCAAAATTAGAAAAGACATTTTAATAAGTACAAATTGCTATGAATATAGAAGATATTCTTTGTCTAATTTCCCAAATTTATCCTCTTTTCCACCATACTAAAAAAAATACTTGAAGTATTCTTTCTACATAATGTAATTGTGATCTATTTATTAAAAGTAGGCATTTGTTCAGCAATCACACAATTATTGACCTCATTCATGGCTGCTTTATGGATCTCTCTTAGGTTAGAAGCTCTAAGAGACAGGCTATGAATTTAACCTACTGCTTACAGTGTCAGATGGAGAATCCACATAGGGCTTCCCAATTAAGCGCATCTCACTTGTAAGGTTGCTACGATGCCATAAGTCACACTAGATGTCTTTGCTGAAATATATGTAGCAAATAAGTGAAGCCAGTTAAAGGCAATTTAATAAAATGGAACTGTGCTCAGCTAGGCATGGTGGTATATATTTATAGCCCTTGCTGCTGGGAAGACTGATGGAGTGTTTGAGCTTGGAAATTCTGAGCTGCCATGGGCTAAGTTGCTCAGGTGTCCTCACTAAGCCTAGAACCAATATGGTGAGCATCCTAGAGAAGAAAGCCACAGGGCTGCCTTAAGGAGAGGAAAACTGGCTCAGGTTAGAAAAACTAGAGGTTAAACCATTTACACAAAAATCATTATTGGAATTAGTTTTATGAGTGGCATCCAATTTATGAGCCTGGCTGAGATAGATACGGGCACACAGTATCAAATAAATACAATTAAAGAAAATAAAGAAAACTGCACAGATCTTTACTAATGTCCCTAGGAACACTCGACTAAAGTCACTTAATCATAATCCTGTGCTCACCCTCTTGTTCCTGTGTCAGGCAGCATGCTGAGGTCAATAATATTGATATCCAAATAAAGGCCACAAGATCAGCCAAGGAGTAGGCCATTAGGAGTAGACCTGGGGAACTGGAAGAGAAGAAATAGTTGTCAGCATACCCTGAGATTTTAGAAAATCTTCTCCCTTACGTTTCTAGCCATGAGAAGTACTGGGGACATTCCCCAGACAGGCAATTCAGGATAACTTTGAGTGAGTCCCTACAAAGAGTTAAGGATCACATGCCCCCAAACCCAGCATTGGTCTTCATTGTGAGAAACGACTCCATTTATTTTGTGGTGAACTAGTCTTCTTTTCATAGGCAGCTAGGTGTCACAGTGGGTAGAGTGCTGGGCTGAAGTCAGAAAGACTCATCTTCAAGACTCACCAAATCTGGCCTCAGATACTTACTAGCTGTAAGACATCGGGCAAGTCACTTAACTCCGTTTTCCTTAGTTTCTTCATCTATAAAATGAGCTAGCAAAAGAAATGGCAAACACTCCAGGATCTCTGTCAATAAAACCCCTCAAAGGTGTCATGAACAGTTGGACACAACAGAAATGACTAAACAACAGCTGTGTTCTCTTCACTCGTTTTCCATAGCTTGAAAATGCCAGTCTCACTAACCAGGTATTATGATGGAAGACAACACTGAATACTTGGTTGATCCAACTCTGACAGACGGGAAAAAGAATCTGAATATTTTCTCATTTCATATTGATAATTGAGAAGGATTTCCAGTTGTATCATAGGTTAGGTTTTCATGAAAACAAAACTGGATTCTGATAAAAAAAAAGTGTTCTTGCTGTTATGTCATGAAGACAAGCCATAGTACATTTCCATTGTAGCTGAAGGTTCTCACATAGACCCAGTCAGAATTTAGTTGTGGGGACACCTTTCCCAGATAGTATAACAACAGGTTGTTTATGAGTCAAGGTCACCAACCCAAAGACCAGGACTAAAGATAGATGGTCCATTTCCATTTCTTTTATCTCCATGAATGAAGTCTTCCCTGACTAGCATAGTGCATACTAATATCTCTTTTTTCAGAATTCTAAAAACATTTACTGTCTATTCCATTTCTTTCAGCTCTTAATAAATGTAAAACAGGGGCAGTAACTGCCCCTACATTTGTGGGAGCTACAAAAGAATTCTTACAAGGAAACTGAGGGATGAGGTACAAGAAGGCTCAAGTAGATATACACTTTGTTTCATCTTAAACTCAAATGAGAGTAAGGTTCCAATATTACCAGCCCCTCACCCTCATCTGTTTTCTGTCTATTAGTTCTTCTTTTTGTGCCCCATATTTATGAGATAATTGTTCTGTTTTTCCTTTTCCTACCCAATTTTGTCTTTTAGAATCGCCCCAAAAATACACAGCTCAGCCACAGCATTTCTTTCAAACTACTTTAGTAATGATAAAAGTTTTAAGAATACTATTGCTAATAATAATAATTAATACTTATTACTAATAATATTTTCATGTATCATAAGTAAATGGTTTGACTTTAATCATGCATTATAATTATTCTTTAATGATTTCCTTGTATGTCTTCTGGATCTTTTATATCAAATTTTCCATTGAATTCAGGTCTTTTTTTTTTTTAGTCAATTGGGGTTAAGTGACTTTCCCAGGGTCACACAGCTAGTAAGTGTCAAGTGTTTGGTCTGAGGCCAGATCTGAACTCAGGTCCGACTTCAGTCTGGTACTCTCTCCACTGCACCACCTAGCTGCCCTTGAATTCAGGTCTTTTTGTTACAAATACCTGAAAGTCTTTCAGTTCATGAGATGTCCATTTTTTAAAAAAATTCAGGATTACACTCAACTTTGCTGGGTAAATTATTCTTGGATGCAACCCCAGCTTCTTTGCTCTTTGAAATATAATGTTCCAAGACCTACAGTCTTTTAGGATAGAAGCTTCTAGGTCTTGTGAAATCCTGATTATTTTTCTGCAGTATTTAAATTTTTGTTGTTGTTGTTACTTGTAATAGTTTCTCTTTAACTTGGGAATTTTGGAACTTGGAGATGACATTCCTGCAAGTTTTCTTCCTAGGATCTCTTTCAGGTGGGATGAGTTGATTCATTCTATTTCTATTTTACCTTCTTCTAGAACTTCAGGCAATTTTCCTTAACAATTTCTTGTAATATTATATCCAGATTATTTTTTTGATCATAACTTTCAGGTAGGCCAACAATTTTTATATTATTTCTCCTTGATCTATTCTCCTTGATCAGTTGTTTTTCTAATGAGATGTTTCAGATTCTTTTCTATTTTTCTAGTTTTATTATATCTTGGTGTGTTATAACATCATTAAATTCCACTTGCTCAATTCTAGTTTTCAAGAAGCTAACTTCCTTAAGATTTTGTATCTTCTTTTCTAACTAGTAAACTTTCTTTTCATTATTTTCTTGGATTGCTTTTCATTTTTTTAAATGCTCTCAATCTATTGATTAAAGAAGTGCAAATTAAAGCAACCTTGAGATACCATTTTATACCTACCAGATTGGCTAAAATGATAGAAGGGGAGAGTGACAAATATTGGAGGGGATGTAGAAAAACTGAGACATTAATTCATTGATGGTGGAATTGTGGACTGATCCAACCATTTTGGAGAGCAATCTGGAATTACTCCAAAAGAGTTATTAAACTGCCTATACCCTTTGACCTAACAATACCACTACTGGGTCTATTTCTGAAGATAGCTAGAGAAAAAGGAAAAGAATCTGTATGTTCCAAAATGTTTATAGCAGCTTTCTTTGTGCTGGCAAATAACTGGAAATTGCAGGGATGACCATCAATTGAGGGAATGGCTGAACAAGTTGTGGTATATGAATGTAATGGAATGCTATTGTTCCATAAGAGATGATGAGTAGGCAGATTTCAGAAAAAATATGGAAAGACTTGCATGAACTGATATTGAGTGAAGTGAGCAGAACCAGGAGAACATTGTACACAGCAACATTGTGCAATGACCGACTTTGATACACTTAGCTCTTCTCAGCAATGCAATGATCTAAGGCAGTTTCCAAAAGACTCATGATGAAAAATCCTATCCACATCCAGAGAAAAAATTTTGGAGTCTGAACACAGATCAAAGCATACTCTTTGCTCTCTTTTTTTGTTTTTATTTTCTCTCTTGTGGTTTTCCCCTTTTGTTCTGATTTTTCTTTCACAATATGACTAATGCAGACATGTGTTTAATATTATTATGCATGTATAGCCTATATCAGATTGCATGCTGTCTTGGGGAGGGGGAAAGAGAGGAGGGAGAGGGTAGGGAGGCATAGAAAATTTAGAACTCAAAATCCTATAAAAATGAATGTTGAAAACTAAAATGAAATAAATTAATTAAAAAAATAAAAATAAAAGACAAAACAAAACAAAAAAAGAATGACCTTGAGCAAAAAAATTATTTTGGCTATTATAAATACCCAAATTAACTATAAAGGACATAAGAAGAAAGATGCTATCTGCATCCAGAGAAAGAACTGAGAAATAGAAGTATGTATAGATTAATTTACATATGTATGTATATATATATATGTGTATTTATACATACACACACACACACACACACACACACACACACACACACACACACATATATATATGAAATTTGTGTCCAATGGCCATCTGGGGGAGGGAGAAGGAAGAAAAAAAGAACTTTACATGATAATTTTGTTGTATATTTGAAAGGAATAGTAAGTTGTGTATAGTAGATTAGCAGTTTCATGCGAAATCTTTTTTTGGCACTATGTTATGGAAATGCTTGTTTTATTCCATAAATTAAAAATAAAATTAAAGAAAAAAGAAGGCTGAGGTAGGAGAGATGGAAGAGGAAGCCTGGGAAAAAAAGGAAGGGGAAGAGGGAGAATGAATGCAGAGTTAGGAGGATGCCTTATCCATTTACTGCTGTTCATAGGAAGCTGCTAGGTAGAACTGCCTTTTTAGGAACTGAGATGAATGCATCAATGCCTAGGTCGTGAAAGCGGCTGTGGTTTTGAACTGGTAGAATGTAGATCAGTGGAGAAGAAGGGAGAGGATGAGAATAATGGTGTGAGCAAAGACACGGAAGCAGGAATATACAATATGTGTTTGGGGGACAAGTAGTAGAACAGCCTGGGTTGCGATGAGGGTTTTTGGAAGAGAGTTAATGGGAAGTAGGGATCTAGAAGAGTAATGGGAGATAAGAATTGAGAATCATCTAATGTCTGTTGATTGCTCCTACTTACTACCAGGCAGCTTTTGTCCTTTAGAATCATCTGCAGATTTCTAGGCCAGGCTCACTTAAGATTGGAATCATTACGCTGAACAGCATAAAATCAGCTGAGGCTAGAACATCAAACTCCATGCCAGTGGCCTTTCCTTGATGCTGATCACTCTGTCTATTCTACTTGCCTTGTCTCATCTCTTTGAGATGTTGTGAATATCTAGGGTACTAACTTTTCCTTGAAACTTTAATCACTCATCTTGCTCTATCCTTTCAATTCCAGCAGACCTCCCTGTTACTGACTTTTTTGGATTTTATTCCTGTTTGATTTCTCTCTCTCTCTCTCTCTCTCTCTCTCTCTCTCTCTCTCTCTCTCTCTCTCTTTCTTTCTCTCTCTTTTTCTTTCTTTTCTTTCCTTCTTTCTTTCCTTCCTCTTTCTTTCTCTTTCTCTTTTTCCTTCTTTCCTTCCTTCCTTCCTTCCTTCTTTCCTCTTTCCCTCTTTCTTTCTTCCTTCCTCTCTTCCTTCTTCCCTCCTTTCTTTCCTCCTTCCCTCCCTTCCTTTCTTCCTTCCTTCCTTCTTTCTTTCTTTCCTTCCTTTCCTGTAATCTTATTGGTACAGGGAATGCCAAGTGATGAAACTTTCCCTACCAGGGCAGATATTCTGAGGCGTTTAGAGGTTAAGTGACTTGCTCGGGGTCATGTAACCAATATTTTGTTAGAGATGGGACTTAAAACCAGGTCTTCCTGACTTCAAGGCCTAATTCTCTATGAACTATCCCATACTATTTCTCTGAACTATACCTGGTAACTTGTTATTATTGTAGGTGTTATTTTCACTGTTCTCAAGGTTGCCTTTTTATCATCTTGATTTCTGTTTGCT